CAGTTAACTAGTGTTAGCCTTTTGAGTCTCATGAACCCCATGTTATAGTTGTTGAGTACGACATGTACTTACGCTTGCTTTATTTTTCAATTATTTGGATAAAAATCCCGGATGGGTACCAGATTGCTAGGGTTTGGAGGAATTAGGCTTGTGATCAACCAGTCAGTTGTCCCTGTGAATTGGAGTCTTCACCTGAAGATCGAAGTTGTCTTTCCACTGTTTGTTGTCTAAGGTTATATCCTTTATACTAAGTACGTTATATATAGAGCATTGTCTTTTGATATTACCCTTATTTGTAGCTATATGTGAGATTTGACTTTCTGGGCTCACATATGGTGCGTATCTGGTTTTGTTCTAAAAACCGAGTGCTACAATAAAATTATACCCCTCATTCATACCAACCAATATGGTTTTATCAAAAGCAGAACCATACAAGACTGTCTGGCTTGGGCCTATGAGTACATTCATCAATGCCAACAATCCAAGAAGGAAATATTCATTGTTAAATTGGACTTCACAAAAGCTTTTGACACCATTGAGCATAATGTAATCATTCAAATGATGAGGCAGCTAGGACTTGATGAAACTTGGTGTGACTAGATTCAGAGAATTCTTATCTCGGGAACCTCTTCAATTCTGCTCAATGGAGTTCCTGGCAAGCACTTTCATTACAAGCGGGGCGTTAGGCAGGGTGACCCACTTTCCCCCCCCTCCTCTTTGTGTTGGCTGTTGATCTTCTTCAATGTATCATCAACAAAGGTCACAGAGAAGGTCCCTTTGAACTCCCAATTCGATCCTATGAAAATGCTCAATATCCTATTATCCAATACGTCAATGACACCATCCTCATCATGAAAGCCTCCTAGAGAGAACTATTCACTCTAAAGGGTCTATTGGAATCTTTTGCTCAATCAACTAGTCTTAGAGCTAACTATATGAAGTCATGTCTGGTCCCTCTAAAGCTCTCACACAACAAAGCCCGTCAGCTGGCTAGAGTCTTCGGTTACAAGTTGGAAACCCTCCCTTTCAACTACGTTGGGCTGCCATTGGGCACCACTAAGCCAAGAGTGGAGCATTTTGGATTCATCATGAACAAGGTGGAGAGAAGACTCACTACCACTTCAAATTTCCTCTCTCGTGTTAGAAGATTGGAACTAGTTAATTCTGTCATTTTTTTCTCATCCTACATATGCTATGTGTACTCTGCAGCTACCTGTCTTAGTCATCGATTACATTGAGAGAGCAAGAAGGCACTGCCTTTGGAGAGGGTTTGACAGTAATGTTAAAATGAAGGTGCTGGTGACTTGGCCAAAGTGTTGTAAACCAAAAAAGAAAAGTGGCTTGGATATTATCAACCTAAGTAGTCAAAATTTTGCACTTCTACTTAAACATCTAGACAAGTGCTATAATAAGAAGGAAAACCCATGGGTGAAACTTATTTGGCATGCTCACTACTCTAATGGAGACATCCCACATGCCTCTACTGATAGAGGTTCCTTTTGGTGGAGGGATATTTTGAAGCTTTGTGACCTTTTTAGAGGGATTGCTAATTGTAAAATTGGAGATGGATCAACCGTTCTCTTCTAGTCAGATTTATGGAATGATAATGTCATGCAGATCAAGTTTCTAAGGCTCTACTCTTTTGCAAAGAACAAGAATATCTCAGTCTCACAATTTCTATTAAAGAATAGCCTCCAGTCATAATTTCATCTCCCCTTGTCTGAACAAGCTTATCATGAATACCAAGGTCTTCAGGAATACATACAAACAATTAAGGTGGAACAACATACTAAAGACTCTTGGAGTTACTTGTGGGCGAGCAGCAACTATACATCATCTAGATTCTACCACCTACCCTACAAAAATTTACAGCCTCCTGCTCCCTTTCTCTGAATTTGGAACTCAAAGTGCTGCAATAAACTCAGAGTGTTCTCCTGGCTTCTGCTCATGGACATGCTAAATACTAGAAACATCCTCAGGAGAAAAAATCACAAATTGGAGGGCAATAATTACAACTATGTTCTCTGCAGCAATAATGTTGAGGAAACTGTTCACCACCTATTTTTCAGTTGCCCCTTCAGCCAGGAATCTTGGCAGCACATGGGAATCCAATGGAACCTTCAAAGTGAATTCTTTCAAATGATGATACAATTAAAACAGTAGCACCAAAATCCTTTCTTCATGGAGACCTTCATCATTGCTGCCTGGCATATTTGGAAGCAGAGAAATAACTTCATATTTGACAGAGGCCGTTCTTTCTCTTCTTGGAAAAACGTCTTCTATGAAGAGGCCAAACTTCAGGCTTTTAGAATGAGAGATGATAAATGTATAGCTTTTCTCCTCTGTTTAGATCTACTCTCTTAGGCCTCTCTGGTTTTTGGACTGCGGTTCCCTTCCCCCGTAGCTACCTCAGCCCTCCGGCAGGTTGGTTTGTTGTTATTTCTCTTTCTTTTGTACAGGTTTCTGTTTTTATTTAATAAAATCCTACAGTGGGGGCTTCCCTTGCTGTATTTCCCGTTAAAAAAAATAGGCAAAGGAAGATCCAAAGACAAGACAAATATACAAATAGTTACACAAGCAAAAACTTTTGGATCTTGTTGTTTTGTGTCTTCCATTTTCCAGTCCAGAATTAGTATAACAAATTTTCACTAAAAGTGGCTGGAACAGACCCTAGAAAAAAAAACAAATGACAGCTGCAGCTGTGTGTGTGTTTTGTGTTTTTCTGATTACTGTGTTACGATTCCTCGTTCATGGAATGGAAGTCCCCCATCATCATCACTACATACATATGTGCTTCTTCCATTTCTTCTAGATATAGCTAGTGCTGTCTTTTTATCCCTTGAACACTAAGAGAGTATAGTAATAATGATATTAATTAAAAAGGCTATGCACACGTGCAAAAGCAAGGCTATGCACAAACCATATACTATGAAATTTTAATCCAAGCCTCTATGAAGTAATATAAGTGGCAACTATGTTGCGTACGTCACGGCCAAAACATCATCAGGTCATGACGAAAAGGAGTACTGATGCTATGGCACACAGCTACCTTCACTCTACAGCAATATCAAAAGAACAAAACACAACCATGTTGTACTGATCTAACAACGCAATCCAGAACATTACTTTCGTATCCATTAAAAAGATCGATATCGAAATGTCAATGGATTAAATGTTGCAAGCAAAAAAATAGTACTGTAAGTATAGTGGTCTAAAGGCAATTAACAAACGGCACAGGTTAGTGGTTCCGGTTCAAAGTATACTTAGGGCCTCTTTGATACTTAGGGCCTCTTTGATATAGCTCAACTTCACCTATGGAGCTGAAGTTGTTTTCAAAAAACGTTTGGTAAAATAGCTTATGAGGAGAAGATAGGTGAGAGGGAGCTAAGAAAAGCTAGTATTTTCAGCTTCACCGGGGTTTTGGTAAAATAGGTTCTCAAGGGAAGGCCAGCTTGGGAGTGTCGCCCTGGAGGAGGCGAGCCTGGCCTAGGCGCGTTGTTGCGGAGACCCCTGCCATGGAGCTGATGGCCCTGCCTGGAGCGGCCGCGCGGTTTGGAGCGCGGCTGCAGAAGATGCACCGCCACCGAAGGAACCCTATTCTACGCATAGTTCTCGTGGACGAGAAAAGTAGTGGCAAAAATCGAATCGGTACCTTCATAAGTGGCAGGTGGGTAGTTTCTTCGAACTTACCATTTACATAGTCAGTGAAAGCAGGGGAGCTACTGTGAGATTTTTAGTAGAGCGAAAACAACTTTTGACCCAAAATAACTTTGGGTTTGCATCCCTTTGATTGGCTTTTGGATTTTTTTTTTTGGAAGCCACGGCGGGTTGAAAAGCCCAACCAAATGAGGCCTTAGAAACGATCTCTAGCTAAGAGCGGGCCCTAGAAATATTTTATAAAGAGTAAGTCCATTGATGGTCCTCAAACTTGTCTTGCTGTGTCATTCCAGTCAACTCTCAAAATGCTCATTTAAGTCGCGCTAATGAACTTTACTCTTTTATAAAATATCGTAAAATATAAAAACAACATAAAAATGATTTTTTGTGCTCAGTTCTCTAGGATTTGAACCCGTGAGCTATCTTGGCACTCGCCTTCCTTATTATCCTTCTACATGGAGCTGGCTAACCCCAGCTAATTCTTATATCCAACTAGTACCTAGACCCAACTAATCCAAAACAAATGAATTGAGAAAATCCACACGAGGATTTTTGCTGTTATAGATCGTTGTTAGTCCTGTTCAGTCCAAGCACGGACGAAATCCATACGTTAGTAATAAAACTAATAAAAGACCGCCAACAAGTACTCATGACTCATGAGCGCTCACTGTCCAGTGTGGCACATTTGTATGGTCCCACTAGCCAGGGAAAGAGACACACTCACTTCCTGTGAGCGCCATGTGGCTTCTGACCTGTGAGCCTGCCGCGTCGCATGAGTACCCAACAGAAGAATTGCTGCCTGAACGTGGCAAGCCTCTCAGGAGAGCAAAGGTGAGCTGGCACGGACACGGGCCCACCATGTCATCGAGCTGCTCATACCACTCGGACCTCACCCCTCCCAGAGAAGCTTACATTCCACATGAAAAAAGCCCCCCCCACCCCACCCCACCCCACACACCAAATAAACGAATTCGATCTCGAATATGATAAAAAAAAAATATCTGTAACGTTTTTACGCCTAGTGACAAAGCCAAAAAAAAAAAAAACGGCAAACGGCATGCTCCCCTCACGCACACGGACAAATGCCCCCTTCGGTATTCGCGGACCCGCTTTCCAACGAGCAGGAACGGTAATCCTCCGCCACCCAGGGGCAAATCGGTAACTCCATGTGCCTCGCCAACTGTAAGCCCGCGTCTTTTATTCCCGGGAGAATTGCTGGCGCAAACTGCGTTTCCAGTTAAGCCCCTGGAGGGGGGAAAAAGCACGTATTTATTCCCATTAAAACCCCCGTGTACAGAGAAATCTTCTCGAAGACCTCAGACACACTGTTCTCCAGTTGTTCTTCAATCCCCAAACCCCTCCTCGTCTTCCCTCCCCACTTCCTTCAGTCTCCTCCTCCGCGTCGCAATCATTCGTGGGGGCGCAGTACTCCTCCTGGCCCCCGCATTCCGAATTCCTGTGGCGTCCACTCTCCCGTCTCCCCACTCAGAGAAATGAGAGCGTTCGCGTTCGCCGCCTCCCAATTTCCGTGTCTTTTTCATCTGGGTCGGGCGGCCCGATTCGTTGCCGTCGTCCTCGTCGCCGCTCTGCCCACCAATCCACTTCTTGGAGGACTCGGTCCTGTCCTGTCCTGACTCCGCTCCACCTGTCCTCCTCGCTTCCATCGCCATTGCCGCACTCCTCGCTCCCTCAAAGCCACCTGCTTTTTTGGACCGCACCGGTCCGAGCCGCGTCACTGCCGAGGCGGCGTAAATGCCCGTCCGTGCAGAGGATCCCAGCCTTCCCTCTCCGCCCCAAATCCCGTCCTTGTTCCCATCGATTAAGAGCAGGCGAAGGTTCTTGGACGCGTGCTGATCCTACCAGCAGCCACGGATGAGGAAGGCGTCCTGACTCCACTTGCCCAGCTCCGGCGGCTGCTCTGCTCCGCCACCAACTGACATGGGCTTCTTGATCTGCTGCGCCCGCCTCCTCCAGCTGCTGCTGCTGCTCCTCACCACCGCCACCCCACCAGTGGCGGCGCAGCCGCCGTCGCCCGCGAGGGCCCTCGACGCGGCGCTGCAGGACTACGCGTTCCGTGCGCTGTCGGCGCGCCCGCGCACCGGCATTGTCTACAACGCCACCGTGCCGGGCAACCTCACGGGCATTGCGGCGTCCGCGCTGCGCCTGCGGAGCGGCAGCCTCCGCCGGAGGGGCTTCGCGGGCTACTTCCAGTTCGCGCTCCCGCCGGGCGTCGTCGTGCAGCCGCACGTCGAGCGGGTGGTGCTCGTGTACCACGACCTCGGCAACTGGTCCGACCGCTACTACCCGCTCCCCGCCGGGTACACCTACCTCGCGCCCGTGCTGGGGCTGCTCGCCTACGACGCGGCCAACCTGTCGGCCGTGGGGCTGCCGGAGCTCAGCATCGTCGCGTCGGGGGGACCGATCTCTGTGGCGTTCGGCGGTGTCCGGGCGGTGCCGGCAGGTGGTGTGACACCGCGGTGCGTGGTGTTCGATTTGGATGGCGTGCCGCAGTTCCGGGACCTGGAGGGAACCAATGTGTGCACGACGTATCGGCAAGGGCACGTTTCAGTTGTCGTGAATTCCAGTGAGATTGCTCTAGCTCCACCTCCAGCTGGCGCGATTGCTCCGCCGATACCGACTGAGGGAGGTGGTAAGAAGGGGAGCTCAGACGCGTGGAAGATTGCTGTCGGCGTGGTTGGCGGTGCTGCAGCGTTGGGGCTGTTGGCTGCGCTTCTGCTGTGCTTGGTGAGGTACAAAAGGGATAAGAAACTTCAGCTCATGGAGCGAAATGCGGAGGTCGGGGAGACATTGCGGATGGCGCAGGTTGGGCGGACGCAGGCGCCTGTGGCATTGGGGACGCGGACACAACCGGTGATTGAGAACAATTATGCTGCATAGTGGATTTTTCGATTTGCTGGATACTTCTGCTAACAAGAAGACTTGATGATGTTGGCTAGAGCCAGGATTGTCCATTGGTTGCTTGACGGCGGCAAATTTTCTATATCAGCGAGGGCAATGTTAGCCACTAATTTCAGAGCCCAGATTCTGCTTAATGAGGGTTCAGCACATTCTTTTGGTGGGTTTGTTCGGAAGCTTAAGTTTTGTACTGCGAGGAATGGGAGGCTATTGTTCATGTTCATAGTTGCCGATGTTCATATGCGGGGAGTTCCTTTCATCTCCAAGCAAGCAATGGAGGAGAAATGTTTGCCATATTGGATTTGGAATCCCCTGTTATTTTTTTTTTCTTGGGTTGCTGTATTCAAGAGGAAATGGGTTTGGCAATAAAGCTGAGGTAACATTCATTGCATATCGTGATATGCTGTGTTGGGGAAATTCATTCATCCAGTTGGAATTTCATTTCATTTCTTTTTCTTCTCCATTTGATGTTTAGGAAGGGCGGGCCTGGTGCAAGCGGTAGAGTCTTACCGCCTGTGATCGGAAGGTCCCGGGTTCGAGTCGCGGTCTCCTCGCATTGCACAGGCGAGGGTAAGGCTTGCCACTGACACTCTTCCCCAGACCCCGCACAGAGCGGGAGCTCTCTGCACTGGGTACACCCCTCCATTTGATGTTTAGATGACTGCGAAGATGATGTAGTGATGTAAATGTTCACTTGTCGTGCTGTGGTAATTAGTCTGATTGTGATCATTGATTTCATGGACAATTGTGTCTACATCCGCTGTGTATGTTTTCAGGCAGCATTCATTTCTTTGTTATTGTTTGGGAAACAACTTAATTTCTAATTATGTGTTTTTATGGTCTGACAGTACTACCAGTTCTAGAATTTGTTAATGCTGACTTTTATCAGGTTCCTTGTTTTATTGGTTATGACCAGTTGGCAAAATAAATAGACTTAAACAGAGGAATTCAAGAAATGCTCTGTTAGAAACTTTCCAAACTTGCTGATTTTCTTTTCTCTGGTAGTCTTCTGGCTTGATCGTTAAGTTAGTTTTGAATATTGTAAAGGTTCATCGATATAATGTAAGTATGGGTAGTGTACAAATAAATGTGAGCTAAACAGAAAGATTGAAGACAGCTCCATTTGAAACGATTTAAAAGCTTATCTTTTTCACTGGTAGTATTCTGGCTTGGTCTTCAATCGTCAAGTTGGTTGGAAATGTTGTAAGCTTCATGTAGAGCTGTCATGAGGAGCTAGATGATCTACAAAGGAAGATAGATGCATTCATCTATTCGTTGAGTCAATTGGCACTTGTTACAAAATTCTCCTTATCACTGTTACTGATATTGAAATATGAAAGATGAACCTATGGAGATCCATTCTCTTTGTTTTGCTTTGTACAGTCATGCTGTAGCATGTATCATCTGATTCTCAAAGTTGTCTAGATTTCAGTTGTTTCCTCAAAAAGATTGCATAACTCACAAGACGAGAGGGCATGAACAGTTGTGCTAAGGATCAATGTGTGAGCTGGCTAAAAGCTTTAGGCCGGCTCACTTTGTGAGCATGCAGTGTTCTTTTGGGTTTGCACTTCGTTGCTGCATGTTCAGTTTTCATGTTGGAAATGATGAGGAGCATGAGAGAAGTGATATAAGATTTGTACTTGGTAGTATATGAATTGAGATGTGATTGCCACTTGAAAAGTTCAAATTTGGTGCACATGTGCAGTCCCTTTATTTAAGGCAACATGGTATGGTGCTGAAATGAGAAGCAACCTTGAGTAGCAGGAGTAGTAGATGACTAGTAGAACTTGCTGCATTCACAAGCATATGTATGTGCTCCATCTAGTAGCAAGCTAAATTAGCTAGACCTGCACACACGTGAGTGATACCTTGTTGCATCCTACAAGGAGTAATAAGGTGAGGCCAAGGATGGCAGACAGAATGGATTTGTAGTGTTTCCCAGCTGGACTGCTGGAACTTGTAGGTGTATTTTGCTGGTGGAAGAGAAAAGAAACAGAAGCAAGGTGACACCAGAACTCTTGCTGCTTGAAACCAAGGTGTGTTTCTTGTTTGGCTGGAGAAGAGAAGACAGGGAGCAGCTGTGGCGTCTCTGGCTGGGATGTTCACTTGTTCAGCCTTTGTTTGTTTGTTTTGTTCACAGGATCCACGATGAAGGGTGAAGACGGAGAAGCTGGTGGTAGTGTGTGTCAGTGTGTGTGAGCTGGGGAGGTTTTTGTTGTCACTTTGGCAGGCTCAGGCACAGCTTTTTGTTGCTAGTTGTAGCTGGCGCGTGGCGTGGCTCCTCTCAGCTTTGGCGTTGTGGCGGAATCTTTGCTGTCACTATGCACGGATTCACAGCTCATGTGGGCTGGCTCTGCTCTCGCATCTGGAATGTATGCTTGTTTTGTAATGGGAAGATGCAGTTCAGCTGCAGCTGTATGGTGTAGTACTGGGGTGTTAAATGAACTGACTGTTGTTGGAGTACCCCATGTAGTTTGTTTTGTGCTGGTTAACACTATTGTGTGAGTGTGAGCATAGATGGCTCTTCGCTTGAGCTACTTTTCAGATATGGAACAGTATTTTTCTCTGACAATATTTCAGCATAAGCCAAATTTTAGCATAAACGAACAAGGCAGCACACACAACCAAGGTCTCTGTTCCTTGTAAAAGTCATAATAAGTAATTAAGTACGTACTCTCCCCAGAGAACGTGTTTTCTATTTCCTCCATCCGGGGTCATAAAACGTGGACATGAACGGATGCACAGCACAGGAGTCGGCACTCGGCAAGTTGGCACCAATCCAATCTTTGCGAATTTTGCTTTTTTCTATCTATCTGCTGGTTGACCCCCAAACTCATTCGAATCAATAATTTAGATTTCGAATCAGAACAAACTTGTAATACTCCAAACTAACCAAGTGACCCGTAGCTACACTTTCAATAGTTTGCTAGCGTTTTGGTTCCTCCTAAAAGGACTTCGTCTCCTTTTGTCGAGTAGCTTCTCCGGTGGATCTTAAGCCGTTTTAAAAAAAAATGTTTGAAAAAAATAACTCATGTGATAGTTTTGTAAAATTTATGTCAAAATTGTGAGGAACCGTTAGATGCCACGTTTTTGCTACTCCACGTCCTAATAAAAAACGGCTATGGACCCTCTAGACTACTTGCAATGAGTCATTTTTTAATGGGTTGGGGTATAGTTCCGCAGCAAGAGCCGCAATGAGCTGAAGCCATGGCAAGGGACCCTTAGTTTGACATTTGCTACTACTACACCATTATCATTTGACATTAGAAATGGTGATCCGACACGGCTACACATGGGTGCCCGATGAGTATGGGCGTGGATATAAAATTTCATCCACGGGGTATACAATTTGACCTGTCGGTACAAATGCAAATATGTCATTACTCACTAGTGCAAAAAATACAAATAGTTATTATTAATCTTATCTTTTATGATTAATTGGATCACGGTTTCGTGCCTTTTTCTGTGCGGTGAATGGCTCCAAACATCTACCTCATCCGCCCTCAAATATAAAGTACTAAAACATTCAAAATTGATGTCACAACTTATATAACATAGAATACAAGACTTTTTGGCCGCTAGCTATAGCATATTACAGTTATATGTATCGTACAGAAACTAATTTCCACTATATACAAACCGTCATAATACAAATATACCACCTCTAGAACAAATTTAATTCATATATCAAAGCAACTTAATGAAGAAAATATAAGCATGAACAGGGCGATATGCCCTTGAACTCTAAAAAATA